TGATGATTTTGATTGGTGATTGATGTCTTGCTGAGCTGTTAGCTCATCCTTGTTTTCTACGTGGTTTTCAGGTTCTGGGAAAGGGAAGGAAGTCGTGGATTAGCGGTCCAGAGTCTGATCTGTGATTAGGTACTTGATACTTTTGATTTTTGTACAGTCATGGCTTATATGTTCTATTTTGTTCTTTCTATTTGTAAGCCATGCACTATATCTGTATATGATTATTTTGAGAAAAGAAAAGATAGATGAACTGCGCTGTATTTGGATGTTTATAGTAGCTCTGTGTTTTTCTGTCTATTTAATCTCTAGAAGAAAGTCGGAAGCAAATTCCAAAATCCGATCCTGGATTTTCAAAGGCTGTGTCGTGAGTCGATGCGAGCGGGATCCGTCCCGGTCGGGTTGGGTCGTGACAAACTGGACCACTACCTGAGTCCCGGACTTCCATTGTACCACCACTTGAGACTCTATGCTCCACGACTCTATGCTCCACCAGGCCACTACCTAAAGCTCGTACTTCCGCCGGACTGTCACTTGAGGCCCCGAGCTCCACCAGGCCATCACCTTATAATTGGAGTTCCACCGAAGTACCATCTTTCTTCTACAGTCTTTCTAACTCCTATCTCCTTCCAACTACAGTCCTCCCGACCTCCGTCACCTACTATGGTCACTCCGACCTCCATCACCATACAACGGTCTTTCAGACTCTAGTCTCCTGCAAACTACAATCTTTCAGACTCCTATCTCCTGCCAACTTCGGTCCTCCCGACCTCTGTCGCCTACTATGCTCACTTCAACCTCCATCACCATACAACGGTCTGTCAGACCCCGGTCTCCTGCCAACGACAGTCTTCCAGACTCCTATCTCCTGCCGACTACAGTCCTTCTGACCTTCATCACCAGACAACGGTCTTTATTTAGACCTCGATCTCCTGCCGACTACGGTCCTCATGACTTCTGTCGCCTACTACGGTTCTTCCGACCTACATTGCCAGACAATGGTCTTCCTGACCCCAATCTCCTACCAACTACGGTCTTTTGGACCCCCGTCTCGTGCCAACTATGGCCTTTTCAACTAAACAAACATGTATATTATCATAACTCCCACTATGTAATGCGCTCTATATGATGTACATTTGTACCATCAAGCCAAGACCTTCTCCAAGGAAGGGCCTCATTTGTAATCGACTGCAAATACTAGTGTATTCATTCAAACTGGGCCAGGCCCCGTGGTTTTTCCCCCTTTTTCAGGGGTTTCCACGTAAAAACTATGGTGTCTCTTATGAATGCTACACCCTCTCTCTTATCTGATTCTGTGCTGAATCTTCGTATAATGCTAAGACGTTAAACTATATATTTTCTCTACCGTCGCGAATACTCCAAGACGCAACATTTATTATTCAAGAGCTCATGTTTAGTTGGCTTTTCTTGAAAACCATTTTTCTAATTTTTTTCATGTTCTTATACTCAATGGATTGGAATCCAATGCTCCACCCTCCAAGGAGAGACCCCTCGCCTACTTTTGCTTTGTTCAAATGTGATATATTCATCTTGGACTTATGCTTCGTTTGAGACAGTTTTATTATTGATTTCTAAAGTTGCTTTTTAGTACAAAATTTTCTAATAATTTTTTGTATTATGAAGTTGCTTTAGAAAGCAGTAAAAAAATAATAAAAATTGAAGTTTTAATCAATTTCCAATCTTTTTTTTATGGAAGAATAATATTTTGTCTCATATAATGTTCAGTTAAATATGATAAACTCCTTTGACTTTTTTAATTACATCAAATATCTCCCTCAAGTTAACTTTTGCATTCATTAACTTAAAAAAATTCTATATCTAATCTATATATAAAAAACCTACAACTTGGGGTGTCAAATTTTGACACAACCCGAAACACGACCCGAACCCGACCCGGAAAAATCTGGGTTAGGGTCAAACCGGACCCGAAATGGGTCGGGTTCGAGTTCAACAAATCAATCCATTTTTAAAAATCGGGTCGAGTTCGGGTTGACCCAGCAATCCAAAATTGACCAAAAATTGACACGAAAACTCCTATTTGACCTGGAAACTCGAGATTGACCCATTTTTTACCCAATTTTGACCCGAAAATCGAATATTGACCCGATTTTGACCCGAAAATTAGCAATTATAGGTCAACTTCGGGTCATTCGTGTCGGGTCGGGTTGACCCGGACCCGAATCGGGTCGGGTTTGGGTCCAGAAACCTGACCCGTTTTTAAAAATGGGTAGGGTTCGAGTTGACCCGAATAGTATCGGGTCAATTCCAGGTTCGGCCTAAACCCGACCCACTAAACCGAATTGACACCCCTACCTACAACTTTCCCTAAAGTACTAACATACATTTTGTTTAACATATTTTGACATGGAGTTACAATTTTTACAAACATACCACAAACTTTTACATATTTATATCTAATACATAAATTGTAATATTTATTTATATGACACTCAAATAATTAAATCACATAAAAAATATCACTATTATTAATATTTCTAAAGAAAAATATACATTTTCAAATACATATCTTAATATAACTAAAACATTAAATCAAATTTTAAATATTCGATATAAAAACATAAAAATTTTATGATATACATGTAAATCCTGCTATAATATATTAAAAAATAAACTAGATGAAAGTTATTTTTGTAAAATTTTATACATAATACTTCAATATTGATTATTAACAAAACTATCATCCTTTTACATTTTTTTTAGAATAGGTTCAAATATTAAATACAAAAAAACACGTAAGAATATCATAATGTTTGTTTGAATGCCTTCGAATTTACGCTGGAATTAATACAATTCATGATATCGTATATAAGCAATAATCTTAGCGCAAATCTAAAAGCATTCAAGTCAATTCTAATGCAAATTATATCATAATATTCTTATATAATTTTTTTTTCAATCATTATATTATATAGGTTAGTAGCATTAATGGAAAACATAATAGGCAAAATAGAGCTAAACAATATGCATAGAGGCCAATTTCAAGTCTAAATTATCCTACAAGTTCCAACATACAGAAATAATGGAAGGAAAAAGAAACACATCAAGATATCCTAATAGAAAATATATCAAGATAGACTCCAACATAATTAGATTTGCTTTAAGATTAGAGTTGCATACAAATGAATTTGTATTGCACTAATCTCAAAATAAATCTAACAATCTTGAATCTTATCCCTATCAAAATATCCTTATATAATTTTTATGCTATAGAATGCTGTGTTACAAGCAAAGGATATTAATGTTATAGAATGTTCCAAATTATTATAAACTTGATTGGATTGATTTGCAGGAAAAATTATTTTATGCGAACACCGAACCACGTTCAGAGACCAATAAAAATGTACCACGTCACTTTTTTACTGTACAGCGGCTCAGTACAGCTCGGTACTGCAGCATCAGGACGTAGAGTTGCATCTGACGTCCGCACAAAATAATTTTTCGATTTGCGGGCTCCGATTATAGCTTAAACATTGAAAGATTAAAACATGTAACATGTTGCAAAAAATTCAAATATCTCAAGATGGCTAACAAGAAAAGAAGAAAAAAAGTTACAATTATCACTTCAAGCACCCAAATAATGCTTAGAAAAACAGTCAAGAATTTATATCAAACAAAAAGCAAATCACAAAACTTCCAATTTATGATTTTCAAACCATATTAAAACATATTTCCATTTTCTGCAATCACTTTTTCGCAGATGTGTTGGATAGGAACAAAGAACTAAGAGCAGTTTCTGCAACTCTCTTGGGTGTAATGCGATTCTTCGACCATTCTTCCAAGTTTCTGCGGTGAAGATCATTCAAATTGATGGAAGGACGCTTTTCCTTTATCATATTTTCAGCTTTTTTCCAATCTTCAGCTAGGCCTAAAGTCACTAGAAGAGCACACATCACACAGACACTTCTACCATGACCTGTAGCACATATTAACTTGTGTCAAATTTTATGGCATCAATAGAAAAATAGAAAATAATATATAAGGGGTTGTTTGACTATAAGTAGAATTTAATTCAAGTAAGATTTTGGATTCGTTTGGAGCAGCTTTCTTACTGTTTTCTAAAACAGTTTTTCGAATACAATTCTTTTTTTGGAACGGGGGTATCTACCCGTTGCCATCCCGCTTAAGAGGCGCCTAGTGGCGTAACAAATCCCTCGGCGAGCCTACCAACAACCAGCCCCACAGGTGCAGGACCCGCAGTTATTTTCTCTTCACTTAAGGGATTGCACCGCATGAGAGGGAATTCGAACATGGGCTGGAGGGTTCCCAACCATGCTCACCCATCAACCCAGCTAAGCCCCGGTGGGGTGTACAAAACTTCTTAGTTCTAGAAATTTGTATACTAGAAAGAAGTAAGAAAATTATCTCAAACAAAACCTTATTAAATATCATAAATCCAGATTTAGTGAACTTTGGAGGCATTAATCTAAAAGAAGTTTGGCAAGGTAGATATTAAATATGATTAAATCCTAATATATTATTTGAGAGATATTTTCAAAATTTAAAATTTTAATGAAGGATAAGAAGCAGCATATAGTAGGGTATGGATCTCTTAAATCCTGATTCCTCTGGAAGTTCTAAATTTGGGATTTAGCTTAAAATGGGAGAAAAATACTATTAGCTATGATTTAGCCTAAATGGTTAAATATTGCAACCAGACAGCCCTTTAAATCGCAAGTAGCTGAAAGGCTGAATTCTGTACTCAATTCACACTTGGGATTCAAATATAGAAAGAAAACCCAATGTCACTGGCATTACTACAGGAGTTTTTTCATGAAAAATATTGCTAGAAAATCATAATTACGAGTGATGAGACTCACAAGCCCTGTTAAGTTAACAAATTTCAATGATAAGAATGGGTCCTGGCCAACTCAATTAGATCCTATACTTCTTTGTATGGCAAATAAGAGAAATATTAATGATTAAAATTTTCATACAAGAATATAATTTTAGCAAGTAACCAACAAAATGAGCAAAAGAGAGAATCCATGGAGAAATTTTCTAATATACAAGGGCTACATAAAAGCAGCTAGAAAATTCATACTGACAGTATTGACCATTAGACCTATCTGATAAAATTCAGATCACGACCATGAGATTGCATCAAGATAGATGAAGAATTTCCATCATATCCATAAAATCAACCACAAGATTTGAGGCATGAAATAAAATTTGAAGATCCAGCTTAAATTACACTCGACATTAATCCAAGGGCCATCCTACAACCTGATACCGATCATTGGACACATGGAACTTAAAGCTCAAAGGTATTGTAGGCCCGTTGTACCATCTCACCTTCACAAGGGTTCAACAAAAATCTCAAAAATAAGGTGTCTCAGTTATCAACCCTCTGATTAATTGTATGATAAAAATACCCTTCAATCAAAGGTTTTTTCATGTAATTTGTTAAGTTTCCTGATCTACATCAACAAGGGGATGGAACCTTTTGTGTAGTTATAGACTCCTCCAGGAAGAAGAGAAAGAAGCAAGATTAGAGAATGGACATAATAGAAATCTTATTTCCTAAATTCAATTATAGCATATGGGGCCTATTTAGTGTTTACATAAACTTGTTTTGGGTTTAACAAAGGGTTAGACTAGCTAGTTCAATATAAGTAAAATAAAAAAACTAAAATGGGTGAGACCTGTTTAATGCTAAAATAAATTGAATCACAAGTTGTTATAGACAGCAAGTTGTTGTGGTGCTCTCAATCTTTGAAATATTTGATTCATTCTTCTTCTATGATAGACTTTAAATATGTTCTTATCTTTATGTTGATTTTTTGAATTGTTTATCCATTCTTGATATTGTTGATTTCTATCTTTGAATACAAAATTGTTCATTCCTCTTCTATTATAGACTTTAAATATTTTATTATCTTGATGCTGATTTTTTGAATTGTTCACTCATTCTTGATATTGTTGTTGTATATTTGAATTCAAAAGAAAATATTGTCACTTAACATAATTCCATCAAGAAGAATCTTAGCGATAAAACGTCTCTTCCATTCATCATTCTATAAAAGTACTAACCTGCCTATAAATCTCACAACTCTAAATAACTACTTTCCCAAGAGGGTAAACGACTAATAACTCTCATCCTTACCCTCAAAGGGAAGAGGGCTCTCTTTTGTACCCTCATTTTTTTATACAAAGAAGAAACTCTACTAAATTAACTTAAAATCTTATTCACTTAAAAGCGTAGGAGGATTATCCTAAGGACAAAATCCCAAAGATACGATAATAGCCTCGCGACGAACCATCAATCCTAGATCTATCTTCTAATATTAAAAGATCATTTCTCACAAAATTATGAATATTATAACTCTCATAACCAGTGAAATTCCTCCACCTACACATCTCAAAACATTACTACATCATCTGAATCACGACCAAATTCTCATAATAAAAAAATTAATTAAAAAAAATCAGTAGCTGAATTTTAATCAAAAGGGGGCTATTTTGCTGGTTTTTAGAATCGAGATTCAAATATTTGAGTCCAAAAAAGATCAGGGTAGCAATGGCGGCCAAAAAAGTGAAAAACTCACGTTTAAACATTATGATAACACTTAAAATATTTCACAAGTAGTATCATATAGTTTTAGTAAAGGAAAAATTATCATTAAGGTGAAGCACCTGATTGTAGTCTGGGAAGAAAAGAGTACAACATCTACCGTCCTTTAAAAAATGTAATTAGAGATAAATTGATCTTGGAAGTCAAGGAAGATGCATACTTTCAGGCCTTCTAAAGGCAAATTATCAAGGAATCACTTCTTAAATAACTGTGGTAGATGTAACATAAATTAGAAAAAGAAGTGATGAGGACATCCGACCGTGGAAAGTTTATTAGAGAAGAAGACGAAGATCTGCGGCAATGATTGGACCACTTTATTTTTGAGTTATTATTTGTATTTGATTTATTTATGCATTTTTTCGTTTTTACCCTCACTTGAGGATGTAGGTTCATGTGACCCCAGGGGCACTTTCATCTTTAAAGTTGTTATTATATTTTGGCTATTTATAGTCCCTTCTCCTCTTTGGAGGATGATGATCATTATGAGAAGAAAATTCTGTACTTTCTATTTGAGAGCTTGAGATTTCTTGTAAGAGTTGAAGTCCCTATGTGAGGGGAACGTATTACCCATCAACCGCAGGAAGCGCTCGGGCTCGTGGTCCATCTCCTCCACAACTTCTTCCCCTTCTTTCTCCTAGCTGCCGCCCCATCCTCCTTTCTTTTTCCCTTGGCTGAAATTCCCCACCCAAACCCTAGCCTACGCCCCCCCCCACCTTTCCCGTTCCTCCCTTGGCCGAACTCCTCCCCAAGCCCTAGGCCGACCGCCATCCAACCGCCGGCCCCACCCCCCTTTCCCTAGGCTGCCAGCCCCATCAACCCTCCCCTTAGATCCAAATTAATCCAAGCATTCACTACTTTCCTAAATTATCTCATTGTAAATTTGGAAGGTCAATTAATTCAAATTTGAATTTGAAATTCCTTTTTTAAATAAGAAGAGTTATTTTAGGAAAGTAACAAAAGTTCTTACAATCAAGGCCATTTAAATTAGAGAGATAATTGTATTAAATTATTTTTCTTAATTTAAATTGGCTTAGATTGGCAACTCATTTAAGCCCCTTAATTCCCTCAAATCTTCATTAAATCCTGTGGTCTCTCTCTCTTAGCTAATTATGAAGTCCATTAAAGCTCCCCAATCAATCCATCAATTCCCCACCTAATTGGGCCGCCCCATTCCCCTTCCTTCTTTATTTTTGGGAAATTCAAATTCAAATTTCCCAATCAATTCCACCCTTTAAAGCTGGAATTAAATTTCATTATTTTGAGTTGATTTCCCTCCCTCAATCAACACACAAAATCTGAATCAATTTCCCCTTTTCCCTCCTAGCTTGGGCCGCCCACTTAGCCCCACTGCCTTCTCTATATAATTTTTCTCTTATGCTTGATATTTCACCTAAGGATGAAGAAGGAGATCATCCTCCCTTGAACAACTACATTCAAACTCCTCGAGCATTGCAACCCTTCAACGACGACAAGGAGTGTTGATTCCAAGGCAAACCACAAATGAACATTGGAGCACTAGTTCAAGAGCTTGGAGTTCCACATCAAGATTAGTAACTTGACAAAGGCGAACTCTCTTCCGACCCTTCCTCCTTCTAACCTCTCCTCGATCATGGCATCATTAAAAGTTATGAAAGCTTCTCCGCTAAGCCGCTATGATGAGTATGTGTGAGGGGTCTTAATAGTAACTAGTCTTATTGTTAATCAAGAGATTTCTTTTGAAAACTCCACGTTAAGCAAAGTTGGATTTACTTTGATTATTTTGTGCTACAAATTTTACCTTGTAATAAATTGCCTAGGCCTAATAATTGCTTTATTGTTTTCAATCTATTGTTTAATCCGTAGGAACTTGAATAATTGCTATTGCTCCGTCACAAAGCGTGTAATTTCAAAGTTAATACATTTGCCTATGCATTTAGTTCTACATCAAGAAGTAGATAACTGAGAAAACAAACTAACAATTTCAGATAAACATTCATCATCTCTAAATCAATCAAAGGTATACCAACTTCAAACTTTAAATGCACCCTGCATCTGAAAACAGTTTAAACCTTTATGCTAATATAGGAAGTGAATTAAAAGCACCAGCTGACAAAAAATTCTTAAAAATTCTCAAACATTGTTCATGTTCCTAATAGGTTAATGAGCAACTCAAATAAGCTCTATAGAGTACCTTAAAGTTTCTTTCCCAAACTCCATCGGTTATTTACAAAATTATCTGCCTATCTAACAAACGATCATGTATCAACGTGTTTCAATTAACCGTATATGTCACTTCTTACGATAAATTACAAGGTGGATATTTCTTCCTTCCCTCCCAATTAATTTGCAGAGTTTCCAATTAATTTGTAGAGTAGAAACAATTGAAATGTAAGACAAATCAAACAAAAAATGATTGTAATTAATAAACTCAGATTCATAAAAATAACAATTGGGCAGGTATTTTATGTCCAATAAAATTTACTATGACAACTACATTCATTCCATTGGAACAGGACAGCTCTTCTATCAGAAAATATGCAAAGAAAAAAAGAAATTTTGTGAGTAGAACAGTCCATTTAAGAGAGTGACAGAGCTGAAAAAGGAACAAGGTATAAAATAAGACCAATACATGCTTGTAACAGAGGACAGGGTTGGGTGCAGGATAAAAATTCCATACATGGAGTCATTATTGGCACTACTCTTGATGCGGACATCGGCACGAAGATCTGGCGCATCTATCATAGGAGGCGTCGTAAATCGACGGCTCTAATTTAAGTTGTCATTTATGAATTATTTTCTGCATTTTAGTTTCTATTTTATGTTATTTCATATTTTACCCCTAGGTTAATTTATTTGAGTGTTGTGGCCCAAGGGACAATTTTGTAATTTTTTATTTTCTCATGTTGTGGCCTATATATAGGGCCTTTAGCTATTGTAATATGATGGTTAATTTGATATGAAAAAAAAATTGTGTGTTCCACACTTGTGTTCTTCTTGAGAGAGAACGAGAGTGAAATTTCTATGAGAGAAATCGAGAGTTTCACCAGCCGCAGGATGGGTCCGGGCTCGTGACGTGACGTCCCTTGGAGAAGGGCAAACGAACCACCCGTCAGTTTTCGGAAGAGTCCGAGGCTCGCGATTTTCATTTTATTTTCTTTCTTTCGTTATTATCTTTTCGTAGTCATTTTCATCTTCTTCCTCCATACCAAGCTCCACAAAATTTCCCCATTGCCGCCGGCCACCTTCACCCGATCCCACCCTCTCGGCCGCCGATCACTTTCCCCCATTAGCTCCTCCACCGCCGGCCACTCTTGTTTGTCTCCATGAATGAGGAGTCCATGTCACCTCTTAATGCTTGCCTAAAGAGTTCAAATAATTTAGGAAATTATTTTCATCCTATGAAATTCGAATTTTGAATTTCAAATAGTTTCCTAAATTAGAAAGCTATTTTAGGAAAGTATTGAATCTCATCCTACAGGATTTGTTTCCTAAACCACTTCCCCACCCGTTGGAAACAAAATTGAAGCCACACCTCTCTTGGCCGAATTCCTCTTGACTTTAATCCTTAATTTATTCCCTAATCCTATGGGAAGGAATTAGGAATTAATTAACCTCCACCTCAGCCCCATTAAATCCCGTCACCTCCTCCCAGCTTACCGCCTCCCCTTATTTGATTTCCTCATAGAAAAAAAAAACTGTCCACGTTTCTCAGCCAATAATTAATGCAGCCGTTGCCCATGCAAACCCAGCTATCGTAAGCCTCTTAATTGCTGTTTGGAAGATCTAACTGCTGTCCAGCAGTTTCAGCTGGATTCTTTTTGCTATAGCAACATCAAAGAAGCCTCTCGCCTCTCTCTCTCACGGCCTAGCCTTGCTGGAATATAGGCTGAAGCTCCTCTTCCTTTTCTTTCTCCAACACTGACGGCTGGACCTCTTTTCTGATTTCTGTGAGAAAATCTGAAATACTTCAGATTTCTTGAAGGAAAATTCTGAGAATTCATCTCAGGTTCTTGGTGAAATCAGTTGTCCCTAGCAAAATTCGTTTTCGTTCTACATCAACTCTACTGGAGAAAATAACACAATTATCAAAATGGGAACAATAAAATTTCTTTCAATAGAAAAGTGTGCTCACCATAGGCACAGTGTATGTACACAGGCTTCTTTAGAGCCCTCTTCTTGAATGCCCATTGAACAGCAGATTCAATTTGGAATGGTTCAGGGGCTCTAGTATCCCATGTTGCAATGCATATATAAGCATTATGCCAAAGAGCAGATGATCTTGGTAACTCACAGGTGCAATCAATAACAGCTGGGTTACCTGGTGGTAAATGTTCCAAGGAAGAAGGCCAACCTCCAACAAATAAACCCTCAGAAATTTCAGTAAACAATGGTTCCCCAATCATCCTCCTCCTCAAGAAAACAAAAATACGTATGAAAAATAGGAAAGGCCCAAATAAAAGTGTTGTCCAAAGTGGGAATGTCCCATCTGAGCTTTTTCCCAGAAGCAGAGGGAGGTTCACATATGGGTGTGAAGCTATAGAAACTAAAAATGAAATTAATGAAGAGTATAGGATCGGTATATAAAGAAATGGCAGCTGAAGGCGTTTGAAGAAAAGGAACAGCAAGAACAAGGCAGATGCCATGAGCCCAATCAGCTTTGATATCCCCATCAGTCCCTCAAAGTAATAAATTCCGTTTTCCTCTCATAGAAACCTGAGAATTATTAACTTGTTTATTAGTTGCACAAATATGGAATAAAAAACATATTTCCACAAAGTTAAGTATAAAAGTACCCAAGTAAAACTGTGAACCATATAATCACCAATAATGGCAGGGGCAACAACCGCAACCTTTCCCAATATTAAGGATCTGCTTTGTAAATTTGTCCATTCATGGCCGTTAAAGAGCACTCAAGGTGCTAATTCTAGTTAAATTAAGGGAAATCCTTTTAACCAACTTAAAACCATGTTGGTTTTCACTTACTCCTTGTTCCTTTCACATTAATTCTAGCTCTGACCTTCGTTGTGCTTGTTGAGCAAGTTTTTTCAAATTTAAGATAGAAATTAAGATGAGCCTTCCCAAAAAACCTTTCTTCAAGATATCATTTTTTGGGATTAAAATAACAAATATACTGCTCAAATCTTCATTATTTATATATCTAACATCCTGCCCAAAAAATGCATTAGCAACTTCATATGTTTGTGTGTGTCACCACCAACACATTGAGAGTTTAATGAAAGCGAAAAGGTTCGAGTTTTGTTGTGCTCTTCTAAATTTGGCAAGTATCACTGTAAATATGCAAGTTTTGTGCTTCACGCATTAAACATATGAACGTTAGATAATATTTCATGTCAACTTCTTTTAACAGAAAATACAAAGTTTTAGCCGATATTTCAAATAGAGATTTCAATGTAAAACCAAACAATAATCATAAAATATAAGTATAAAATAAAGAAAATGGTGGTTGTTTAGCCAAACTGAAGACAAGCTGGCTTGCTTGTGCTAACCTATGATGCACCAACACTCCACTTAAAGAGGGTATGTAGTGTCGGACACAGGACACGGCATAGACACATGTCCGACACGGCATTGGAGTGTCGCAATTTAAAAAATTAAAATTAAAATCGGACACGCATGTCCGGTAATTAAATGAGGTATCGCTAGGTACATGCTCGGTATCGCTAGGTACATGCTCGGTACCGCTCAGTACATGCTTGGTACTACTCAATATATGCTTGATACCGCTAGGTACATGCTCGGTACCGCTAGGTACATGCTTGGTACCGCTTCCCATACAAATAACTTATGAACTTTAAAAACAAGCAGAACTTCCAAATTACTCTTACAATAAAATTTTGTTCCGGGGGCGCTGCCCCTGGAAACCCCGTAACCTGATCGGGCAGGTCGAACCCCGTCAGGGGGCAGCGCCCCCTTGGACCCCCGGCAGACCGGTATATTGTTGTATTCATGTTGTCTTATTATTGGGATATTTCAATTTCACTTCATATCAATTTAATTTGATGTATTCATATGTATGATTGGTTTGTTAGCAAAATGAGCTCTGCTGCTGGCAGGAGTGGATTAGGTGAAGGTTCAAAAGAGCCATCTATAGAAAATGATAAGCCATTACAAATTCATTTTACAAAGTTAGAAAAAACATTTGAAGGAGGGAATGTGTCATTCAAATGCAATTATTGTGGTGGCACCTACAAAGGATCTTATTCTAGGGTGAAGGCACATATACTTAAAATTTATGGCCATGGAATAAAAATGTCCTAAGATTACTACGTCGCAGTTGATTGCTTGTCATTTTTACTATAATGTCACATTAATTTCTATATATCATATTAAAAAATTATTATGTCATGTCCACGCTGCACCCGTGTCCTATATTTTTAAAAGTTGCCGTGTCCGTGTCGTGTCGTGTCTGTGTCGCCGTGTCCATGTCGGTGCATCATAGGTGCTAACATACATAAAACTCATGGATTGCGATGTTTCTGAAATTATTTTGCAATACAAACTTAGCATTAGTTTGAGACCTAAGTAACAATTTAAGGATGCTCACAGATTTTAAAAATGATATTTTCATGATTCTGGTGTCCAAATCATATGTGGCTATATCAAAAAGTGGGCTTTATATACCTATCAGCTTTCCATGCAAGAAGACTATTTTAAGCGTAGATTAATTTGAGCGGTAAAGCATTGTTCTATTACAAAAACCATTCCCAAGTATCCAAAGCATAATGATATAGTGTACTCGCCCATGGAAATTCTATAGGGAAAGCCCCATCATGCAAAGTCGGATCCTCTTCAATAAATCCTATACTCTAATTAAATCAACTGCAGGATGGTCAACCACCCCAACAATCCATCAATACTTATTCAATTATTTGACTCCCATTAATTCTATTCTAGTTTGTCCTTAACTTCAGGAATAGTACTTGTTATTATTTATGGCCTATAAATATGTAAATCTTCTACGATTCAAGGCAAGCAAATAAATTCTTCTCCAATATTTCTTGTCTCTACTTTTAACATAGAATTAGGAATTTTTATTCCGTCAGGTTACCTGATGTAGCTCTACATCAGGTAGCCAATAATCTGTCGCCACGTGCTCTTACTCTTTACCGCGCGGACTGACAACCCGACCCGGAACGGACCCGGGAGTTTGCTTATTGCTCGGTATTACTAGGTATTGGTCGATTTTGCTCGACAAAAATAAAAAATACCATTCTTTGAAGAGCAATACCGAGTTCTTTTAGTTATTACTCGGTATTGCTTGGTATTGATTTTCACAGAGCGGTATTTCTCGTTATTGCCAAGCAATACCGAGTAATACCTAGCAATACGCGAACATAGTAATCCCGGATTCGGTCCGAGTCGGGTCGTCGGGCCGCGCGGTAAAGAGTAAGAGCACGTGGCAGTATATTATTGGCTACCTGACGTAGAGCTACATCAAGTAACCTGACGGGATAAAAATTATAGAATTAGAGAGTGATTTGCATTCCCTAAATCACTTGTTGTAATGGTTTGCCCAAGCCTCACCAAGCTTACTTCAATTCCGCAAGAGTTAGCATTAAGAATTACGAGCTCGCCTCAAAAACATCATAAGTTTGCTTGCATCCCAGCTCGCCGAAGTAATTCCAAAGCTAGTTGAGAACTCTTCTCACCGAACTTGTCTTGAATATAGCTCGCTAAACTAACCTCACCAAGAGCTGCTTGTAGAACAAATTCCACTTAGCCAAACAAGTCTCAAATACAGCTTGTCGAACACTTTTCAAAGCTTGCCAAACTCACGTCTAACTTGCTCACTTCTCAATGATGACATTCTCACAAAAAGTTTTTTGATCTTGAACAGCATGCCCCTTGCCATCTTCATGTCCCACCAATCTGATTAGATTGTTCTCTTTTAACAATAGCTATAATTAAAAAATGATTGGCCTCCAAAAAAAAACCTTCCCCTCTGATGTCACCTCCATCCATTAACTATTCATTCATGGCAATACTGGCAGTCATAAAAGCTTCTCATCAAATAAATTGCTCATAGTGCACAAAGTGAACGAGTAAAATTTTGGAGGACCAATTAGCTATGATGTTCATAAGAGAAAAATGCAATGGTAATTATCTCAATGGTGATGTCATTCTTCCTCAAAAAGACGATCTAAAATTTAGAACATGATAATCTAAAAATAATAAGATTATGCATTGGCTTATTAACATCATGGAATGGCTAAAAAAATCATGTTTTGCGACATGACTGTAATAACCGGTTCATCCGGCCGGTTCAAGTGAACCGGCCGGCCTAACCTATTAATACCGCGAACAGAAGAGTCGCGGAACAAGCAGTTCGCGCGAACAGATATCGGGCGGACGACCGAGGGCTTCGTGCGAGAGCGAGGTAAGTTCCGTTTTCCAATTTTTAGCAAATGATTACCTTCTAGGATAAGAAATAACAACTACTTTTCGTTCTTATTGTTATAGAAGCAAAGGTTTGGAGAGAATTTGCAACGAAAGGAAGAAACGACCAAGGAAAATTTAGGAAAAAGGTTTGTTGAAATTCTTTCGTATTTTTCCTATAAATTCTCCTCCTACATCGTTTAAAGTGAACGATATATTTCTTGAAGGAAAGGGAAGAGATTGTAGCGAAGAAAAAGGAAATTGGGAGAGAAAGGATTTTAAGAGTTTGAGAAATTCTCATTCGTAAGTGAAATTCTTTTTATATAAGTTTATTATGGGATTATAATTTTAAGTTTTACATGAAAGTTATAGTTTGAATTTTAGGGTTTTAGAAAGTGAAAGATCAAGTCATAAGTGTTGATCCCGCGAGGATTTAGCAATAAGAGAAATTAATTCAAGAATAGATCAAGCATCGAAGACCTGAAAAGTTTAAAGTGGGTAAATTATATTATTTATGTTTTATTGATGATTTCAATTTTCTAAATAATTGATTAAAAATCTTATATTATTAAATGTTGAAGGCAAATCTTTATGATTTTACAGTCTTAAGAAAGAATCTATATGTTATAAAGATTTAAAAGCTTAAAAAAAACAAAAAGAATTATTTATGAAAATGCATGTTAATTATGTTATATGAAATGGAAATAATAAGGATGAAAATGAGAAAAGAAAAGAAAAAGAGAATAAAGGAAAAGGGTATTGAAAATAACAGGAGTCACCCCCTTATAGTACTGGCTGGGGACGCCGTACTCGTGCACGAAAAAGGAAAAGGAAATTTCTATGGAAATGGGAAAAGGAAATCATATGAAAAAGGTTGTACCTTTGGGTACTTTAAGACGGTGCTCCTGTGCAAATCATATGGGAAAATGAAATACAAATGAAATATTAAAGTTAACAATTACTTCAAATTGATATAAATAAAAAATATCAAGAGAAGTATAAGTTAAGGAAATGAAAGAAATACGGTTAAGAAAGGATAGAAAATATCTTAATTAATTAATTTTAATGATTAATTTACATAATTTCCCACTGAGTTTACTTAGTAAACTCAAACCACAAGTTTAAATGTTTCAGGTAATTCCTAAGAAAAGAAATGGCAGAAAGAGAAGAACATGTTTACAGAAGACGAGGACCAAATGACAACAGGTAAAATATATTTTGTGTTTTTAGTGGCTCTTTATCATGAATGATGTAGTATTATGTTTAATGAATTTTATCGTCCGACTTTTCGTACCCGCCTCGTTAGATCGAGTATCCGGGCCGGGTCGTGACAATGACAAATGAATATGGGTT